TGGTGCCAGCTCTGATGAGCTGCAGTGAAACAACCCAGCTCTCACTACAAAAAAAAAAAAAAAAAGTGTATTGGGGCTTTGTTGCATGCCCCCAGGTTTGGACTGAGGATTTGGTGTGAAGAACACATGACCAAAATGAGACAGTAGATAAAGGTTTTAATTTTGATACCTGTAGTGTGATTGTTTTCTGCTTGGCATGGTTGAACTGTAACATTTTCTGTACATACATTTTTGGGTGTAGCATCTGGTGGAGGAAAAACAAATTTACATTTTTTGGTCTCTTTTTTCAGTACTCCCGTGTATAAAAATGAGTGTGGTCTAGAGTATGCATAACCAGTATCTTTTGGTAGTGGGAAAGAATAATCTCTGCCTGTGTTCTGAACCAGCTGGAAGTTGTGTGAATGTGGATAGTATCCTGCCTTGGGAGGATTTATTTGCATGGATGTGTTGTTTCACTCCCTGGCCAGACAACTTCCAGACAGTGAAGAACCAGGGCAGATAACAATGTACTTTGCCTGGGATTTGTAATTAAGTTTTTTCAGTGCATTGTACTATCCTAGAAGAATGCTTTCATTTTTTGAAATTACTTTTTTGTTGAAATCTGTTACTTCAGGAACAATGCTGTGTCCATTTGGTGAAAAAATAAATATCTGCATATTTTGCTGATTTTCATCAAGACTGGCTTTATGCTGTGCTCCTACATGTAGCCTGTGCTGTTAGGAGTCATTCATCACCTGAGTGTTTAATGCAAGCAGGAGCCGTAGCACATCTGTCTCCATGGGTACAGGGATGTCCATGTGGGTGACAGGAGGGAACCCAGCTGTGGGAACAATGCCCACATCTCACCTGGAGATCCTGTGTGTGCTCCTCACTTGGCAGCTGCAAGGGGCTCACAGCAATACTCACATTTACTAGCTGGAACTAATGAGAAACTAAACACTCGTCATTTTGCACTGAATGGTTCTATTTTACTCATTCCTCAGAGAAACTATTATGGTTAATAAATCAGATGCTACAAAGAGAAGTTCAGTAATGGCTCCTGAAGAGCTCCAAGCCAGCTCTGGGGGAAAGCAGCCACGATGGCTGAGGTGTGATTTCAGCTTTGGGTGGGTGATTGAAGTTCCATTCTGTGCCTGACCCAGAGCATCCCCCTGGAGCAGATCTGCCCTGCTTTCCCTTGCACACAGGCACTGGGGCTGCGAGCCAGAACCATGCTTAGTGTGAGATTAGTGTGGGATTCCTCCACCCCTGCCTCTGTCCCCTAAAACTGTTTTTGCAGCAAGAAGCCTTGCAGGCCACAGTAACCCCAGGAGGTCAGGAACAGGCACTGGGAGACCTGGAGCCCAGAAGCTGGGTTAGGTGAGCAGTCCCTCCATGGCCAGCCTGGCTTCCAGGTCCTGTCCATCACATTAACACAAACTGGAGTTCCCAGGCAAGAACCAGATTGCATTAATATGTTAAATTAATGAAGTATTGCTGGGAGATTTGCTTTAATGTGATCATCCACAGCTTTTCAAGGATTCCAAACTGCTCTGCCACCACACAACTATCTTTTATATTTATAAGTACATATATGCCGTGTATATATGTACACATCCATGTACCAAACAGCTGGATAACTGAAATCATTTACACCAATGTCTGGGCACTGAGGAGGCTCCTTGCTGAAATGGGAACTGGAGGTGCTTGTTGCCATGCTGGATTTATGGTTCTAATAAATAATGAACACTGACAATAAATACCAGAGTGCCAATAATGGTGCTGTGTGCTGCCAGCCTTGTTTTAAATCATATGCAAATACCACATTGCTTCTGTCAATAGCAGAGAGCATGGTGCTTGCACTGCAGTGTCTGTTTTGATGAGGATTTCATGCTGTTTGAAAAACATACATAAAAAGCAATTCTTTAGGGTAATAAGATTAATAAAATTTCATTCAATGAATCCTCAAGATCAGCAGCTTTTGATTTCTCAGAGAGCTCAGCTGCTGTCTTTCATTAAATATTCCATTTCATAGTTTTTCTTCCAGTGCCTGTTCAGGGCTTTCAGTGTCCCTGCACATGTAAAATGAAATAATAATTTGTACCTGCAAGACAGAGGGAATGGAAATGGAATGCCTGGAGGACTGTTTTGATGAGATCTACTCAAGATTTTGTTTGAAATGTAATATCAAAGAACAGGGAAATGAGTTCAGCTCATGAATGGCAGAGGGGCAGCAAATAAAGCAGATGTTACCAGCCTCGTACTCTGCATCTGTGCTGGTTTTGTGTGTGCTCACTTCCCATTTAATTTTTCAGGAAGTAGGGCATGAAATTAAGACTGGAAGGTCATTTTTTTCCCATTGAATCTGTTTAGAAATTAGTAACAAGAGTATATCTGATTACACAGGCAATGACAGTAAATTTTTTCCAATCTACTATATGGGGGTAATAATTTTATGTACTGTGTTGATCGATGATGCAATTAAATAAATTAACGCATTTGGAGTCAAATAAAGAGCTGAAGATTACATTTCCTCGAAGACTTAATTTCCTTAAGTATCACAAAGCACAATTAGTTTTCCTTTCAGATTTTTTCTTTTTAATGAAATTGGCATGAAAAATGTAATAATCCGTTTCCAACCAAGGTCTCCGCAGAGAGGAGGCGATGAGGGGGAGCTTCATCAGCCAGCTGTAATAAGGATTTTATGGAGTGGGTAATGGCTGGTTTGTGCTGGGAGGGCAGAAGGGAAGAGCACAGTAGCAGCACTGCAGATAGAGGTGATAAGATCAAGTAGGATCAGCTCTCAGAGCCCAGCAGAAACGTGGTTTCCCTGGTGAGAAACCCACAAGCGCAGAAGGACACAGCCATGCCCTGCCTGTTGTCTCCAATACAGCAGAAGCTCCCAAACAGCAAGGCCAAGAGGGGATGGAGGCAGCAGGGGGCCGTTAGGTGCTGGTCTCTGGTGAGATCCCACCTCCATTGCTGCATCCAGCTCTGGGGTGCCCAGCACAGGGAGGACATGGACCTGCTGGAACAAGTCCAGAGCTGGGACCAGGATGATCAGAGGGATGGATCACCTCTCCCATGAGGAAAGGCTGGCAGAATTGGGATTGTTCAGCCTGGGAAAGAGAAGCTTTGGGGCAACCTAATGGTGGCCTTCCAGTGCCTGAAGGGAGCTGACAAGAAAGATGCAGAGAGACTATTTACAAGGACATGAAGTGACAAGACAAGGGGGAATGGCTTCAAACTAGCATAAGGTAGGGTTAGATCATAGATTAGGAAAAAAATTCTTTACTACGAGGACTGGTGAGACACTGGCAAAGGTTCCCCACAGAGGTTGTGGATGTTCTGTCATTGGGAATGTTCAAGGCCAGGCTGGGTGGGGCTTTGAACGACCTGGTTCAATGGAAGGTCTCCCAGTCCATGCTAGGAGATTGAAACAAAATTATCTTTAATTATCCCTTCCAACCCAAACCATTCTGTGATTCTATCACACTTTGGGGTTTTTTGGTGTTTTTTTTTGTGGTTTTTTTTAATAAGCAATTAACTTAAACTGGGCCATTGATAGGAACAGCTTAGACCAATGTGCTGAATCAAACTGCTTGACAGGCACAACAGAGCCACACCACCTTTAACCAAGATTTTGGGAGGTACAGTCTATGACCCAGTGGTGAAAGGAAGGCCAGTGACAGAGGCCAGGGCAGTGGCAAAGGAGAGCAGGATCTTTTCAAATTATTTGGGATCCAGTTCCCAATTTTTAACAGGAAATTAGTGTGCCCTAAATAAAAGAACTATTAGTGGAGGTGTAACCTGGCTGCTGCAGTGACCTGAGATTTCCACCAAAAAAAAGGGCTCTGAAAAATCCCTTCATTTCTTTATGGAAAGCAAAGTGAGAAAAAAATTTACTTCACTCAGTGTATAAAAATCTGTAATATATGGATTTATGGGTTTATTACTTAACAAGCTGATATAAATGTAGCTCTGTGGATAAAATGAATATCTGGAGAGAGAAGATCATGAGCCATGGTCCCTGGCTAGACCTTCAGTCTTGCTTCTTCTCTGTGCTCATTCCCTCTCCCAACTCCAGGAGGTGTCATCTGGGGTCATCTCTGAAGCTTTGCTGTCTGACTGTACATGCTGAGAGTGTTCTCCTTACACAGATATAGAAACAGCACAACTGTTCAAAATATTACTATCAAAACATCTATTAGTAGAAAACCATGCAAATAGTTTATAGTAAAGTTAAATAAAAGTAACATCATGACCCAGTGATGCCCTGGTTTTCTACAGCAAAGAGGAAAAATGAGCCTAATGGAAAGAATTCAAACAAGGCAAAATAACAGCACAGAGAAAGCTTTGCTGATCAGGTCCTGCACCCAGATCCAGGTAAGTAAATAGCTAACACATCTTCCTGTCTCCAGAGGAGGAACCATCATGAATTCATATAAGCAGCAAATAAAATAAATATTGCTGAGTCTCAAGTGCCAGAGGCCCAGTGCACATGGTCAGTTTGCAGGCTTTGTAAACAGCAGCAGCTGATGAAGCCTAAAAACCCCAGAATCTTCAGTGGCCACATCAACCCAAAGTTCAGATTTCTTTTGAAAGCTGGATGCACATAATCCTGCTCTTTTCTAGCCTTGCTAAGCTCCAGTAGAAAATAAAATATTACACTAGTTTTACTTTGTAAAGGCACAGAGTTATACCAGCACTGCATGTCTTTGACAAGCAGCACTTTCCATCTCTTCAACAGCCAAATTTTGGCCAGAATTGAGAGGCCATAGAGGCAGGGGAAATGGAGAGTGTCAGGAAAACTGTCCCAGCACCCCTTACTTGCATGTCCCAGGTACGTCTGGTCCCACAGAGATCTTCCTTCACTGGGGCATCTCTTGTAGAAGCAGTGCATGGAGCTACACATATTTCATATAAGAGGAATAATTAACAAAAAATGGGTTGATGGTTGAAAAACTTCTTATACTGCAAAGAGCATCCAGTAGAGAAGAGAAAAACAGGATGAGAAATGGTAAAGTATCAAGATTTTATTGTTTTATATATATATACTTATAATTCTTAAATGAGACAGTATTTTTTAAAACAGCAGCAAGCAGAACGTACAAGTTGAGAAAAGTGGCAGCGCAGGTAACTCTGTTTGGCTAATGCCCATTCATGTACAAGGCGTACATTGGATTTTTTTGTTTTTTGAGCACCTTTTGTGATTTTTATTTATTCTTGGTTTAAGTGTACAGTAAGGCAGTGGTTTTTTTCAATAAGGAATATATATATATATATATATATATTTATATTTTTATATATTTTCAGTCATCACCATGAATTCTTCGTACATGCAAATTAAATAAAATGTACAACTCGGAATTGTTACACCAGGAGACATTTTTCCTCAGAGCAAAGCTTCTAATAAAAGGCAAATACAGACACCACGAAGTTATAAAAGAGAAGGAAGGCATAGGAAACCAAACATCAGGCACTACTGACAGGACAGCTCGAGCAGGGAAGGTTGGGATTCCAGTGAAGATTCCTCCTGCCACTGGCAAGGCAGGAAGGAACGGATGGTTATTAACAGATGTTTCCAGCCAACTCCCTCGGGAAGGTTCACTCTAACCTGAGAAGCTCCACATCAAAGAGGAGCGTGGCATTAGGAGGTATGACCCCAGGGTGGCCTGTGGCTCCATAGGCCATCTCAGGTGTGCAGGTCAACTTTGCTCTTTGTCCTAAGCTCATCTGTGTTTTGGATGTTGGAGAAAGGAGAAGAGAAGACAAAAATAAAAACCAGGATTAGGAGGAAAACAAAAGAAAAATCACTACCTGGCATATTTACAGAATTAAGGAGTTTCACAGAATTGTTTAGCTTGGAAAAGACATTTAACATTATTGAGTCTGGAGCTTGGAAGGAGAAACCCAAGCCAGGTGATGATTCTGAGTCCAAATAGTTTTGCTTCAAGCTGAAGCTGCCATAAACAGGTCAGACATGGGCATGGGCCTCCTCACTGCTCTGGCTTCTCACAGCAGTTACTTAAACTACCAGAACCAGTCTGGAAGTGACACAAAGTCTTTTTAACACCATGTTTGGTCCACCCTGCCTATACTGGGCTGCAGAGCACAGGATACACGGAACACCATCAGCAGGCCCTCACGGCTCTCTGATCATGAGAGATCAGTGCCCAGCATAGCCAGGTTCAGCACTTATTTCCCTAAACTCAGTCCAAGCCCCAGGGCAGACATCTCACTTATGCTGCTTATCCAGGCAGAGAGCCCTGACCCCTGAGATGGGCAGGAATGCTGATTTCCCCCACTCCAGGCTGGCTCTGAAGGGAACTGCTCACCTAGATCTGGAGTTATCTTCTGAGTATTTTGGAACATTTTCAAACTGCTTTTCATGCACCATACACTGGTGTTGGAATATTCACTGGCTAGTATGAAACATGTCTTGTTTCACAAGAAACATTCCCTGATTGGAAGCAGTGATTTTTAACTCAGACCTCTCCCCCAAGATCGGGCATATCACTGGACTACAGATTATGTGATAGCTCCCGTGGAGAATTTTTCAGGTTGAATATTTTCTGGTTCTATAAAATATACCAAAGCTAGAGAGTCAATTGCTTTGGGTAGAAAAAAAATGTGGATATGAACTTTCCCACATTCAAGGAGCACTCATGGCATGGGGATGAGGATGTCCAAGCCTATGACCTCCCTGGGTCCCCACAGAGATTTTGCATGGAGCTGTCTGTTCAGTGCTTGGATGTGTCCCTGCAAACCAAGCAGCTGGTAGGTCATGCCTGGGGTTTTAGGGATGAGGCAAACTTGAACTGTCAGAAGCTGAGAAGAGAAATGCAGACCCTGCTGACATCTGACAGTCATTACACCAAGGTCTGTGAAATCTGCGTGCTGGGAACTGCCTTGTGCCAAGAGACTCTATCCAGCACAGTCCCCAAATCCCTCAAACCCTGGGGTGGAAAGAGACAGCCACGAGCTCGACTTGTGTCAGTGATCCACTAGGAGGAGTAGGAGGGCAGCCTGTGGCCACACGGCTTTCTGGAATAGCTCTTGGCCACTTATTTTCTAAGGGCCAAGAGTCGGGAGTGAGAGCAGTAAGGAAGGGATGAACTGATTCACCCAGTGCTTGTTGATGCTGCATTATCTGCACTGGCTTCTGTTTCCCACAGTTCTGCAGTCCTGAGCTCTCTTAAGCCTTTCTGCAAAGCAAATAAAAAACAGTCCAACTCAAATCCTTCAGAGAAGATGGTATTTTTCACATAGGATTCCTCAAATGGACTCCTCTGGCTGTAGAGAAAGGAATGCTTGCATTGCTTTCTCTGTAGGGCTGGAAACCCTTCCCTCTTCCACCCCTCCCTGGAAAAGCATGGTTGCTTCATTCCTCAGTGGGTTGTTTCTCATTTTGCATTCTTCCCTTCTCTCTATTTAAGCACAGGAAGTTGTTCTTGCTGAAGTTGTTCCTGTAAGAGTATTTGAGTGGTTGCCTCCTACACTGAGCTCTTGGATCCTGAAATGGGAAGTCAGAAGGAATTTGCCCCTAATCTCATTCAGTCAAGCTCTTGAGCATCCCAATCATACTCCTCATGTGTGGGGGGCACAAAAAGCAAGAGCTGGCAGTGAGTTGTATTGTGGGGTTTTACTGCGCTGGCACTCACATTGTAATTAATGGAGGGCAGTTTTCTTTCTCTCAGCACAGGGTTGGTCAGTGAATGTTTTGTAGCTGGGTGTCTGAAGTCATAAAAACGTAACAGTGCAGTATGGTACCTTATTCATAAGGGTCAGAATCTGTAGCTGGGTCATGGATGTCATCAAAAAGGGCAGCTTGGGCTTTTATGGAGTAGCTGAATAGAGGTCACTCCATAGAAAGCTGCCATCTCAACATTTTAGAGGCCACTGCTGTCTGTGGAGCTGCCCATGGGAGAGAGACAGGGCTTATATGGCACCTGGGGAGGGGACTTCACCTCTCTCCTCCCAAATGCATACCATGGGGAAAGGCTCATGAGCCTGGGATAGCCAGGGATGGATGGATGGATGGATGGATGGATGGATGGATGGATGGATGGATGCTACAGGAAATACTGTGCTCAAATGCACCACGCTTTCACAAAAACACTCCATATCCTACACTGTGATTTCCACTTGGTCTTGGCGCCACTGCCCTGGACATTGCTGAGATTACACATCCTTCAGCCAGCTCCAGGTTCGGCCAGAACAATTTATTAGTACCTGTGTAACACCTTCTTCAAATCCTTTAATGACTTCTTGCCTGCCAATCTTGAACCTGAAAGGCTTGTTTCTGTCTCTGGAGGAATCAAACTTCTTTCCATTCTGCAGCATTCCTGCCAAAACAAGACACACGGTTTCAGTCTGAGCTACATCTAAATTTAAGTGCTGGAGGAGACGGAAGGAGTGAAAAATTAATGTCTTGGTCACATCAGCTGCTCATTTCCATTTTCCCTTTGAAGCCTCATTCAAAAAGGAGAGGCAACTGCAGTGGTGCCATATTGTTACCTTTGCCTTTCAGTAATTTAGGCTCTAAAAATGGAAATTATTTTTATTTTTCTCAACGCCATAGGTTACAACCCATATTGTACCAAACATTGTACAGACATACAGAAGAGCTGTTGTTTGCACAGTGGAGCTCCCTGCCAAAGTGGATAAAAGCAAGCAAGGAACAAGTGGGAGGCAGCAGCAGAGAGAATCCCAAGACAGGTGCCTGATCCAGGGCTGCCCCTAATAATGTGTGTTACACAAATGGGGCCACATCCCACACCATATATGTGAAACCTCTACACAACATGACAACTCCATGTCTCTCCTCATACACAAAGAAAAGACTCTGCATCACAAATATGAAGTGGCAAAGACATTTATATAAATGTTCCACTACCCTTGTTCATGTTTCCATTCAGCCACCAGAGATGGTCACAGAACACATTACTCGTTCCTTTGGATGGGCACTGTTTCAATCCATGGGTTTTGAACACATGCCCAGATTCCTCAGCAAGTGGACAAACCTTCGACAGCACTATGTGATTAGCTATTCTCCTTCTCTTTTCAAATTTGTGGATAATTAGGGTAGCTTTTGATTTAGAAGTACCTGGTACTTAAAATCCTTTCCTCTGAATATTGCAAGGTTGGGCTGATATTTATATATATTAGAATCAATCTTTCCTTCATAGTGCTGTAGAGCCAGTGCTGTGGGCAAGCACTGTGACTCTCCTATAGAAGGAGTTGTACAAAGAGAAGTTCATTAATCTGAGAAAGACTCTGGTTGCAAAGAACACTAACAAGTCCAGCTTTGAAAGAAAATGCTGAGAAAAGTGTCCTTAAGATCCAGTATCAAAGATACCAAACTATCAAAGTCTTACTAGTTTCTTTCCTTTAAAGCAGTTATATTAACAGATCAGCTTGATGCACGAATTTTACTTTTCAGTAAAAAACATCAATTATTGTCCAATAACAAAGAGACATACTTTGCTTGCTTAAAAAATCTGTACTATGAATCAAAGGTAAGTATGAGATGTGCCAGAATGAAAAACAGATACTAAAAAGGTAGGATTCATTTTTACCAACTTTAGGCTCCTGAGGTAGCCAGTTACTTCTCAGCTAATTACTCAGAGAAAATAGATAATCAAGTCAGAGAAAAATGCACTTTCAGGGAGCAATTCATCTAAGCAGATCTAGGGATGTATATTAGGACATAATGAATCACATCCCAGCAATGCCTATTTCTGTCCAATGAATAAAGGGAAGTCCAAACAACAGCTCAGACATAGATATCTCCAAATTCATTAGTAGTTAAAACAGTGGCAGTGGAGTTCTGGACTTGCAGTCGTGAGCACACAGGGTTTGATTATTCCAGTGGGGTTCTCTGTCCAGATATTTTAATATTATATTTTAATTAATATTAAAATCAAATGCCATATTAAGGCAAATCAGTCATTAGCCAAGTCAAATGTTTGTCCAGGCTGGTCTTTCAGACACATCTATGCATGTGCCCAAGGCCTTAGAAATAAAACTATGGAATTACTTGCCCATAAGGAATGTTTCATAATCATTACCATTAGTGCCCAACACAATCCTTTAGTTTTTCACAGTAAAATAATGAAATGTTGTATGTGTGCTCTGATGCAAGTACATAGAATCACAGAATCACAGAATCAATGAAGTTGGACAAGCCCTCTGAGATCACTGAGTCCAACCTATGACTCAATGCCACCTTGTCAAACAGAACAGGGCACTGAGTGCCACACCCAGGTGACTCCACCACCTCCCTGGGCAGCCCATTCCAATGTCTAATTACCCTTTCTATGAAGAAATTCCTCCTTATGTCCAAGCAAAACCTCCCCTGGCACAGTCTGAGGCCGTTTCATTTTTGTCTGTCCCGTGTTCCCTGGGAGCAGAGCCTGACCCCCATGTGGCCGCACCCTCCTGTCAGGGGGTTGTAGAGAGTGATGAGGTCCTGCTGAGCCTCCTTTTCTCCAGACTAAACACTCCTACCTCCCTCAGCCACTCCTCATAGATTTACCCTTCCCCAGCCCCACTGCCCTTCTCTGGACTCACTCCAGCCCCTCAATGTCCTTCCTGAATTGAGGGGCCAGAATTGGACAGAGAACTCAAGGAGAGCCCTCACCAATACAGGGAAAAACTGACATATTATGCAATGTATAAGCTCAGTGATACTCACAATCCCCTCCAGGCAGGCTGGGAAGCCACAGCAGCTCCTGAACAAGGTTTTCCAGCTACAGACTAAGATGGATTCATTTGTAATATAGAAACTCAGCCTGTATTGGGGGAGGGCAGGCAGGGAGAAGCAGCTCAGGGGGAACTCTCAGGCATATCATATAATCCTTTTTGAAGTATTTGATCTTAAATTCAAGTGACAGTCCTTCCTCAGAGCACTTTTATTTTTAAACACATCATAAAACCTTATGATTCTATGAAATGGAAGGAGACTATTACAGAATCCCAATATTTAATAGTTTTAATATTAAAACTTAGTACTGTCATTACAGTTTGCATGTTCAAAGCAGTATGCAAACCCTAATTATTCTTCACATCAGCCCAAGGATGTGGCTGTTATAAAATAGCCTCAATCTGAAAGTTCAGATTCAGTTGCAAAGTTCCACAACACTTTATTATGCATTCATTTCACTTTGCAACTAAATCCTATTAAAACTCTTAGCTTAAAGCTCTGATGGTTTACTAAACAGCCCACATCAAACCAGAGGCAGAATCAGAATTAACTCTTCAGAGATTCTGACAAGAGCTCCTGGACAAGGTTTCCCATTTAAAGTAACATTTCCATCTTCCCACGAGCTTGCTAGTTTGATACACCATTTAAAAACTAATTCATTTCACTAGAAAATGCCCACAGAAGATGTGTTAGGCCTTGTAGAAGAAATCAGACTTTTCTGTATTTACAGCAACATCCTCTTTTCAGCAATAGCTGAAAATTCATGGATTCATAAATGTAACTTCCTCTGTCATCACCTTACTGCTTTAGGAAGACAAACTGGGATGTAGAGTCAAATGTGTTTGTATTCACCAAAGGTCTGGCAGGAGGGTCAATTTTTATGTGAATGCCCTTTAAATGCACATTCTGGAAATGAGTCAGAGACTCCATGTGCCCTGAAGAAGTTCTGATATGGATTTAGATGTAAACTTTAGATATTTTTTATCTCTGGTTCTGAGAGTTAGAGTTGGCTTTGCAGGCTCCTGGGAGCTAAAACAGCATGATGCTTTATTTTCTCTCTTGCTAATGCACCAATTGATTTTTTTTTTGGTGAAAAAATTGATTTAGTTAATATTCTTCAACAGGGATGGATGCCCATCTTCAGCCTACATCTTTATTTACTTAACAGCAGGGAGAAAAAACCCCCAATTTGGAACTCAGCAACGACATTGTTTTGCAAGTCAGAACAATCAATAAGAGTTTTGCCTGAGCAAGGACATCTAGATGCCTATATAGCTACTTGTTAAAAAACCCTTAGGTTTCTGAAAGGGAACAATCATTGTATTGAAATAATTAATTGCACAAACTTGGTTATCAGAATATGTCATGGCTTTGAAAACTTTGATCTACAAGGCATCCTAATTGAAAACCAAGTTTTAAAAATTAAGTGAGTGTAGAAAAGGAGACATTTCAGATCATGGGTTGTGGGAACCTAATTAGATTGGAAAGATCATACCTGGGACCAGGTTCCTGAGACAGAGGGAATAAATCTGAAGCCCTGGGGAGGTGGGGTGCTGGGGTGATGCTGATGGAGCCATCCTACCTCAGACTTTTAAGCTCATGTCCCTGGTTTGCATTTGCAGCTGGATCTTTGCCCTCAGATATTCCTTTACACTGTGAAGCTCACCATGCCTCTGGGTCTCTGGAAGGAGCCCCTCAGACCATGCAGTCTCCATCAACATTAAAATCTATCTTGGGGCTCTCCATCACACCTCTCCCTCTATTATTGCCATGCTGCCCGGCCAGACTGGTCCTGGGACAGCAACAATGGGTCCTACTGAACCACTGATGTTCAGCTCACTGAAGATGCAGATTAAAGAGCAGATGAATCATTTTATTAAGGAACATGGCCACAGATCCATCCAATCTACAGTGGACTACAATGCCATTTGGGATAAACTGGCAATGAAAACACAACTTCAGGCGAGGTTCAACACAAGTTATTACTCCTTATTAAAACACAGGTGTGTCTGTAGCTGTGTCTGCACTACTTTTTAACACTACACTGCTTTAGCTATGATCCCATCACTGCAGTCTGTTTCCTAAGGGGAGAGTGCTAATGAAATGTCACTGTCTGCACTTGCCTAATAACTTGGGAGTCTTTGAGCCAACTTCAACTGCATTTGGCAGAGGAACAGGGATCGTACCAACATTAAGATCCTATGCATGTAATGAAAAAAATCTGCCTCGGAAGAAGACCCTGTAAGAGCTGCTACCAAGAGGAAGGCTCAATCTTGTTACCAGAGAAACTTTATTATTGAGGAGAGTCAGGAATGGAAAGGCTGGACCACAGACTAAGTTTCTTTTAGCTTACTTTTCTTCTTTCATCTGAGAATGGTTCAGCTGGGAGTACAACACAAATTATAGCACAAATCCACAGAGCCAGCCCAGCTGTTAGGCACCTAATACACCTATTGTCCCAACAAAACCCAGCCCCAAACCATGGCCAAACTGTTATCCACACAAAGGATGGATGGAGAGAGAACACTGAAGTCCATCCACAGATAGTCTGTCAAGCTTCTGTGCCTGAACCTGGAAATTTAATGTGTAAATTCCACTGCTAATGTTATTTAGTTCAAAGGCAGAACCTTGTGTCTCAAC